CAACCCCTACAAAACACGAAATCAGTAGTACTATGGAATCGATTCATTTGCTGAAACTGCGGAAGGAGCTGTTCGCAAATGATGCAGTTTACGAGCAGTAGTCAAAGCTCCTGCAATCGAAAAGTACAAGTATCGTTGTTGTTAGAAATGAAGTAATTCAATATTATAACGACAACCCAATATCTCAGCTTCTAGCAGTTTAGAAAACTCTAGAAAACTCGACGAGCACAAAATGCTTGACGCTTTTCGACAAGATCACACAGTGCACCAATATTCATGAAAGACTCGCAAAACTTTTCAATAAGGCAAATATAAGGGAAGAGTAATGACTCAATGCCCGGTGTCGAAAAGCTATCTGTATCAGAAGTATTATACCCGCGAAAAAACTCAGTTTGATGCGAAAAGGCCTACGTTCGAGACGGTTAGATAACGTTCTATCAACGTAGTGCAGCTTCGAATCATTTGTTGGCCTACGCGTCGTAGACTACGACTTAGTTAGTTGCTATTGTGGAATAGTCATTTGTTTCATTATGATTCATAATTTATCTACTAGAAAAGATCTGACTAGAAAAGTCATTTGCCATCTCATTTTTCAAAAGTAATAGAAGTTGATTGCACGCTTACCCCTTGAAATTCTCGCCAAATCCTCCTTCTAAACAGCGGATGTGAGGTAGGTTCCTGCGTAAGTTAGCATATTGCGCAGCCGGAGAAACCACCGAGGTCCTCGGTCCGAGGATGTTACTATCTGGATGAAAAAAGGTGATGGAATAGGTTTGACCTATTAGGTTGCACTGCATCTTAGACGAACAGAATGAATGGCTTCAATGATCTCCGTGACAAGAAGTTGTAGATATTGGGCAGAAAATCCCCTCTCCAGCCTTGCATATATAATCGCCCCTGTTAATATTTGGATTAACGTATTGGGAAGGTCGGATATTATGGTAACTGAAAGAAAATATGAATGTCTCATAAAGTAGTGGTCTACCTTGTGTGATCTTTTGTTAACTCATAAACTTCACCCATTAATTCATCGATCACATCAGCGATCGTACTTTTAGCTACTGCTCTATATCTGACACTAGCAGTACTATGAATGTTGAACTATGAAGGTATTTAACGTGAGTCACAGGGAAGTTCTGATACTAGATCAGAGAGAGCCTGTCTCAGAGAGGCTCTGTTTGACAGGATCAGATGTTCTGACTCAGGACTTCACAACATGATACTACAATCAGTAGTGTTTTCAACGACCTAGCCAGAGATTCGGGTGAAACGAGTAAATGTAATCTATGGACAGACGATGGATGATTCTGCAAAGCATCGTAATCCATCCCATCGGAACAAAAACAAAGTATAATTTGTGATCGATAGAAGTAGTCGTAGGAATTGGCTGGGCTACGGAGAGTATTTTCGCTCGTCGTTCATAATGGGACAGTGCCATTTTATCGTACAAGGTCCAAGGCGCTGGTGCAAAATCTATACTGTTCCTTGGAGCTCGCTCGGCTTCTTCGGAAGTTGTACTTTGCGCCAAAATGGCTTCGTTCGACCCACGTGACGTGAGTCACGCTGCGTAAGGCACGCATGATGCACAATTCACGTGTGTAAGATGCTGCTGCATCATTGTCGCTGTCCCAATCCCCCGTAATACACAATATGTC